GGCCTATGGAGTAAATTCTCCAATGAAGGATATCAAGGCCCTTCCCAGTTTTTTGTTTAGACATAATTCTGCAGTGAGTATCACAGCCACATCAACACACACTAAGTCATTATAACCAATTTCAACTAGTAAGGATTCTTCATTCTCCATGGATGTCACTGAAGAAGTTGAATGTTCTTACCACCCCACCAGGGGACTATCTGAGTGCTTGTTATGCCAGCCTAAGCTTGCATCCAGGAAGAACAGGTCCCTCTCGGAGAGCACCATGGAAGTTTATGTGGTCAACTATCTACAAAACAGAACCATTTTTACTGGTCTTTGAGACCCACAAAGGCACATTTAGGGTCCTGCAGATTTTACAAGGGCCAAGTTTCCTTCTGTACACTGGACCCTGGTTGGCCAGGCTGATTTACATGAGAAATCCCCACCACTGTCCTGCAGTCTGCCTCACTCCTGTGCTGATCCACAGTCAGTCATGCTCACAGCATGCTCTCATCTGCTGCACAGTCTTCTGACTTCTCAGTGGCCTCTTTCCTGGACCCTCCTGGGTACCCCAGCTCCAACCTCCTTCTTGGGGCTCATAATGATTTTTTTGGTTTTTCCAGACAGGGTTTTTCTGTGTAGTTTTGGTGCCTATCCTGAATCTCGCTCTGTATACCAGAATGGCCTCCAACACACAGAGATCTCCCTCACTCTTCTTCTCCAGTGCTGAGATTAAAGGCATGTGCCACCACGGCCTGGCGAGGTCCATAATTGGTACATATTTCTCCCCAACCTTGACTCCTTTCCACTGGAAAATTGGCCCAGTTTGTCTCCAGACCATCTCCTGGCCGTACCTCTACCATCACTTTCAGAGTTACCCTTCCCTGGAGCTCACTTCAGCCACCCCACCCTCTCCTTCCTCAGGATACTGTCCTTCTAGATGTCTGCCCACCCAACTCCCAATCCTGGCCTCCCTCTATATCAACCCTTGTCTCTCTTGACCATGTGTCTCTTAAAAACAGCAGGAAGAGTCCTTACTGAGTCCCTGTAGGGTGAGTCCTGTGACCAGAGATAGGACCTATGGCCTGGATACATCAAGATACTTCAGGGCTTGTTGCTGGGATACAGCATACCAGAGGGGTTAAGCAAGAACACTCCAAAGTCATGTGGCTGGTTGAAAAACTGAAGGGATGATCCCTGACCTGTCCAAGCATTTCCTGGTTCAGAGAGGGGCTCACTCTTCATTATTTCTACACAAGACACCAGTATACACACAAAAAAGAGAGAGGGAGAGAGGAGAGAGAGGGGAGAGACAGAGAGAAAGAGAGACAGAGAAAGACAGAGACCGAGAGAGAGAGAGCAGCTGCATTTCAGATGAGGCAGGTGGCAGCCTCTGACTTTCCTGCCAAAGACATGATTATCACTTGATGGCTTGAAAGCTCAGGCCATGGAGTGCTGAGCAGAGAAAGAACACAGTGAGCTGTGACTAAGTGGGCAGTGCTGGGGTCAGTGTATCCTGTCCTATGAGCCACAAAGGCCTCATGGGAGAGCCAACCTGGGCACAGCTGGTTCATGGAATGTCAGGTGTCCCTAACTATGCTGACCACGGGTTTGTGGAACATGTCTCAAATCTAGGAAAGCTTCCCCATTTATTATTCTTTCTGTATGTGACATGATGTCATACACAGGTAAAAGCTCATCAAAGAATTCATTCCCTGTCAATTATGTTTCTTCTTTTTTTCTTTAAGAAATTGTTTGTTCATTTTACATACCAACCACAGATCCCCTTCGCATCTCTCCTAACAATTCCCCCAGCATTCCCCCCAGCAACCTACCTTCCTATCCCCACCTCGATAAAGGTAAGGCTCCCATGGGAATTCAGCAGAGCCTGGTACATTCAGTTGAGGCAGGACCAAGCCCCTCCCCTCTGTACCAAGGCTATGCAAGGTATCCCAGCATAGGTAATGAGTTCCAAAAAGATTGCGCAAGCACCAGGTATAGATCCTGATCCCACAATTACATTTCTTCTTAGAGCTGAAAAATTGCTTCTAAAATTGCTCATTTGAATTATCTCAACATTCTTCAAGGTAAACTTAATATTGTCTTGGGTTTTAGTTAAGCAGTGATCCAAGATTTTTTTAAATTGTGCTCATCAATAAAAGACTTAGAATTCATTTGTGTTTCCTTTCCCGGCAGTAACTAGCTTTAGGAAACATTTTGGACCACTTTCCTTTTTTGCTTTCCATATTTCTAGAACTACTCTTACAATCTTCAGATTAGCCTCACTCTAAGGGATTGGACAATGGGATGGGAGGGCTTTGACTACAGATGTTTCTGCATGTGAATGTTGTGACTGTGAATGCACCTGTGTGGACTTGTGCATGCTGATCAAGAAATCCCTCAGGAAAATCTGTGTGCAGATAGGTTTCCCATCTAATAACTATGATGAGCAGAGTCCCACTGGAAAATAGTGTATAAACTCCACAATCACATGCCTTAACCTGAAGCAGTGGTTCTCAACTTGGGAGTTGCAGCCACTTTTAACTTTGGGGTCCACAGACCTTAACTAAGACCATTGGAAAACAAAGATATTAAATTATGACTCATAACAGTAGCAAAATTACAATTAGGAAGTAACAACGAAAATGGTTGGTGTCACCACAGCACGGGCAACTATATTAAAAGGCCACAGCATTAGGAAGGTTGAGAATCACTGACCTAAAGCATTGAGCATGTAACTAAACAAGAAGGAACCACAAGATTGCATTAATGCATTTCAATCCTGGAGAGTCCCTCACAGAAGATAACTTAAAAGAAAATCACACAGAGCAGTAATTGGGCTCATGAATCACTGCTGTTCTACAGCAAAAGCTGCTTATGGGTACAGGTTTCCTGTCAATGCAGTGATATATAGGATTGGGCTACTAGGTAGCAGCAGGCGAGCAGCAGACATCCTAAGGAGTCAGAGGAGTAGAGTCCCTTCCCCAGGTCCAAGATGGGGACAGCAGAGTCAAGAGGATCAAAGGTAAAGGCAGAGATGGGTGCTGGTTTCCAGACTCACATAGATAACAGCTTGGAGCAGAGCAGGCCTTGGTGTTTACCTGTATTAGCTACTCCCATATTGCACTCCACAGCTCCTCTGGGTTACACAGCAAGCATCCATCTTTTAGGGTGCTGAATCAACCACCACAGAGTGATATCCCTCTGCATCACTCTTTGCTAAGCCCTGGGAGCAAACTGCCAGAAATAAAAGAATACACCCAGTGTCCTGTGAGCTCAGTAGAAAGGGGAAGAAATGACCAGTCTCTGGGGCACCCTGAATACATGATTGCTTACCTGCTTCACACCAACCCTGGGAACAGTGTCTTGGGAAATTTATCTCAGAATATGGGGTTGATATGGATGAAGGAGGTCTCTGTCCTTAGTAAGTAAAAAGCAGTCACGTTCAAATTTCTAAGTTGCTCACATATGTTGCAGGGATGCTAGGGCTAAAAGGAGGGTTGATTTGAAACAGCCAAGCCAAGAACACCAAAGAAGAGACACAAACAGTTTCTGCGATCAGTAGGACAGTCAAGCTGTCTCACACTGGTAAAGACAGGGCTCCCAGCTAGTGCGGGCAGTCCAACCAGGCCACCAAGTCCTTCAGGAAAGCACCCATGATACTATTGTCTCCTAAAATAGCCTAGCTTCTCCAGCAGCTAATTGTGAGAGTGAGTAAAGTCTGTGTCTAAGAAAGCCTCCCATTTAGGTGTTTCAGGGAAGCCTTTCACAATGACCCAGGAGACAAGGAGAAGAGGAAGGACAGTTGCAGCTGCTTCTTGGTGACTGTGAGAAGACAGAGAGCTGAGGATAATTAAAAGCACCTGGGACAGCTGAAATGTCAGAGGACACAAGACCATGCAGTGGCTAATGGCGACAAGACAGTCAAGGCCCACAACTCACAAAGCCTAGTCAGGGATGGATAAAGGGGCCTGTGGTGGGAGGGGGTTGAGCCACCCCTGACTAGGTGGGCAATGGGTGAACAGAGCATGATCATCTCCTTGGTGTGGGCTAGACCATGTGGACCGTGGGCCCTCCATGTCTCAGCCTATGCTATCCCAGAGAAATAAACCATCTCCTAACAATAACCTCAGCCATTGTCCAGACTCTACCATGATCCTATTAAAAACAAAAACAACGAAATGACAGAGCTCAGTGGCTCTTTTAAATTTTGGGAATGTCACCTACTCTAGGGAGTCTCTCTAACTTTTCCTCAGTTCGCCCCGTCCTGTAATGATTCTTTGTAGAGCTTGCATCAGAATTGCTTGCTCATCCTGTCTTTAACCTTCACAGCTGTGAGACAGGTTTGGAGCCAGTACCCAGTGTTGATCTTTGATGCCCTCAGGTATCTGGGTCACCCTAGGACCTTGGTCAAGCACAGCTAGGTAGAGAAAGGTCTCCATCAGAATGAGCTTGTGAACACTGGTGGAATTCAGCCCTGTTGGGAGCACAGTCTCTCAGGAGGATCTTGCCCTGGCCTACCCACATAGTTGCCATCATACAGGGCTCTTCAAGGCAGCACAACCAAGGTTGGGGCATTTTGTTTGAAGGACATTTCCATAATTTAATAAAGTGATTTAGCTGGACTCAAGGGCCTGCTGAGTTTGAAAAGGTCTTTTTGTTACTCCCTATGACTGAATTTGGACAGTCCAGCATTACCCAAAACTAGAGGTGTCAGCTAAGGAGCAAACCAGAGCCACAGGTTCCGCACCCCCACGGCACACACACTCACTGCAGTTTTTAAATACTCCCTGCTCTTTGCAGCTCTAAAGTGCTTCAGGCTAAGCACCTCAGAGGACAAGCCCACAGCCACTGAGGCTGTGCAGGCCAGAATGTGTGATTGGACACATTGTAATTACGTTGAGTCTCCAGAAGACAAGCCTTCCGGGTTAAGAGTCACAGCTGTACCTCTGGCGTCAGACCGTGAGGACACGGCTTTTAAGTCTTCAGAACTCGGGTCTGATTGAAAGATTTCTGGCATGGGGTCTCTCCAGAGCTGCTGCCACATTTTCACCAGGTTGCTGTGTCTAGGAGCTAATGAAGACCAGGAACAACAGCATGGTCAGTAAAATGGTTCTGACTCTACTTGAGCGAAGTCTGGGAAGCATATTTGGTGGAAAGGCCAGTGGCCAGGCACTTCGATTACCCGGCTCTGCCTGTGGGCCCTCTCCAGGCTTTCCAATGATCCATGGGCCACGATGCTCAGATCTTTATCTTTGTGTTTTTCTCTCTTGCAGGAGAGATTGCAATGGTCCTGAAGGCTGGAGAGGAAGGAGGCAAGAAAGGGTTTGTACAGAGCGAGCTTGCTCAGGGTGAGCTTGGTCAGGGCGAACTTGCTCTGGGCGAACTTGCCCCAAGCAAGCCTGCTCAAGAAGCGCTTGCTCAGTCCGGTCTTACTCAGGAAGCCACAGGAGTGGTAGAGGAGGGAGAAAACGAAGAAGAAGAAATGAAAGGAGGTCATTCTGGCGATGGTAGTTCTGGCCCCATGGACAAGGGGATCCAGGCAGAAGGTGGCCATGGCGGAAGTGTTCAACAGCAGCCTCAGCAAGAGGCAGCAATGCCTGAGGGCACCAAGAATCTCCAGGCTCAGGACAGGCAGCCTTTCCACAGACACACCAAATTCACCCAGTCTCAGCTGCAGGACCTGGAGCGTCTTTTTGAAGAGACTCGCTTCCCCAGCTTTCAAGTAAGGTAAGCAGAATGCCCTGCTAGGCGCCTGGTTTTCTAGCAGTGCATCCAGGCTGTTCTTTGGTGCTCCCTGACCCCTGATTTCCTCTACAAACAAAGCCACCATGTCTGGACCCTCCAGCAGAAAGTGAATTTTAGAGTAAGCAGATGTGCCCTAGTCCAACTGGAAAGATTGTGTTTTGCTGCCTGTTTAATTGGAGAGTGAGTGGGAAATTTAGACAATGCTTGTTCTAAATAAGTCTCTGTAAGTATGAGTGAGAAGCCTGAGTTGTGGCTGGTAAAATGCAGGAGGGATTCCACCTCAGATTAAAATTTGACTAACACTTTTTATCGTGGAGCTTCTCTTAATGGAGCTTTACATGTTAAGTACATAGACCACATACCTGTGTTTGGGGGATTACCCTTAATTTTGGTCCCTGAAAGAAACCTGTTACTGAAGTAAGTCTCAAAGTAGGTGTGAGGAATACTGTGTGTGTGTCTGTGTGAGTGTGTGCATGTGTTTGTGTATGTGTCTGTGTGTGTGTGTGTGTGTGTGTGTGTGTGTGTGTATGTACACGTGTGCACACACACAAGTGTGTACACAAACATTTAAAAGCAAACAGGACATGTCTTTATACAGTTTATTTCCACTACAAGGCCTGAATGTTGGAATCTTTTCACTCCAGGAAGGATCTTGCAATATCAATGGGTGTGCCAGAAGCAGATGTGCAGGTCAGTATTTTAAAAAAAAAAATTAATGTTTTCGAAGGGCTCCACATCTTGTTATGGTGCTGTCTAGAACAGAGGTGTAGCAGCAAATTGGGACCTGATGTTGCATCCCAAGGATGCCAGACCAGTCCACACCCAGGCTAGGCTCAAGATGATGAAACACCTCCATTTTCTCAGGCAGGAAATGCCAACATGGACACCTGAAACCTAAGATGCCAAGGTGCTTTGTCTGACCCTCAGTGAACATAGTGTGTTCTCCATGACCTTCTGAAGACTGTGCAGTCCGCATGCCTCACTTAAGTGAAGAGAACATGTTCTTGCCAACCTTCAACTCTTTCACTCTGTGTGTCTCAGAAAACCTTTTCTCAGACTTCTTGATCTAGTCTGTAAATGCCCCATGCCTGGCTTAGTTCTGAATCAATACTGGGACCAGGAACCTCAAACGGCCCATAACCCTTTTACCAGGCTTTTGTTGGTTATGTATGTGAATTCTGCTCATCATTACAATCAGCCCTGACTTTTCCAGACCACATGCCCACAAGGGAAAAGGCCTATACACAGTATGCTTGGAGGCTAGGGAAGAAGCATAGAACAGGAAGAAATGCCCTTTGTCTCATAAAATGTGCATTCTGGATACTCATGAAAGGTTAACACCATGGAGCCTTTTACAGAAACTTTGGGCCTTGAAATAGTACTCCGGGGTTCCAAGAGAACTGTTTTTGATAATCTTCAACACACAGCAAGGACCAGGAACAACGCATGAGCTAGATCTGCATGCTTTCCTGAAAGAATGCATTAAAAATATCAATTAATGGAGAGAATAGACTATATTCTGGGTCTGTTCCATAGCAGAAGGACTGGGTGTGGGGGTACATGTCCTCAGGGGCTTCATGGGGGTGTTTTGACTGTTTCAATGAGAATGAAACCTGTTGCTTCCAGCATTCTGAACAATCAGTACACACTTGAGGTAAGTCTTCAACCGTTCTTGGGGTTAGATCGATAAACAAACAGTTTCTGGGAAAACAGAAATGTGGTGCTTTGCTAGGGGAGTAGCTCTGTCCTGGAGCACATACCTAGCACATACTGGCCCAGGGATGGGTTCCATATATGTTCTAAAATGCTAGTAAAATTGAGCCAGTATACGTGGTTAAAGGATATGTTCTTCAGTGGTGGTACAGTACAGTGTACTAAAGCAACCCTTTCTTCTGCTTGTAGGATTGGTTTAGGACCAGGAGAGCCATTTTCAGGAGAAACAATAGAAAGGTGGTGCTGATTGATGCACCACCTGGTCCCCAGAACAACGATTCCTGAAGATTTTGGAGCAGCTCATGTGTGCCACCTCTTTCCAAAGCCAGATGACCTGGAACCTGGCCCTGCCCCCAATGTCTCGGCTACCTGTTCTGGCCATGACAACTTTTTCTTCCCTGCAATTATCTCAGCAATAAAGAGGTGGATTCTAAGTATGTTGGTTTCATTGTTTTTCAGATTACTAAAATGTGGGTATAAGTATTTGAACCATAGTAGCCTATTCCAGAAATGACATTTATGGCAGGAGGTGACACTGGCAAGGTGTGGTCACTGTGCCTTGCCAAGTGAGGAAGATTTCCAGGTGCTATGCTGCTTCATGCTGACCCCACATGACTCTCCACCCTCTCATCATAGCCTTGTCAACTCACTCCATCTCTGTGGAACAATTATTTATCAGGTATCAGAATTTCACTAGGGCTGCATCTATGGTCCTGAACCTGAGGTCTCCCCTTTGCAGGTCTAACAAATAATATTTCAGTACAGATAACCACTTCCCTATTGGTGAAATTATTAAGGCCACTCCACATAGTTAAAAGGGAGGTTTATTTAGTGGCATAACTTACAAATGAAGGGATAGGTAGGTTGCAGGGTCTGGCAAAGACGTAGTGCAATCCGGCCGTGTTCTGTGGAGAACTCTGCTTGGTCTACCTCCAGCGTCCAGGGTCGAGGAACCAAGAGAGCATGCATCCACAACTCTGGTCTTCAGGGCCCTCTCTTGGCCCCGCCTTGTAGGCTTGACAGTTACTGAAGCCTCAAAGGGGGTTGGAACTTCCAGATCAAAGCTGGAATGGCTACCCACTACACCTCCCCTAGCTTTAAGAATGAGAATCGTCCACCAGTCATCCTCATGGTCCCTGTGCCTGTGAGCAAGGATTAGGACAGAGATGTCCCATTTAGACCTGAGTGCTCCACCTTCTATTGTTTGCTGCTGCAAACATTGACGGGCTGTGGGTCTCTGTACCAACCATAACCTACTGCAAAGAAAATCCACCCTGAGCTGTCCAGGAGATGTGATGGACATGGTGATGTGCAAGCTGACAGGCCCAGCAGCCTTGGATCCCCTGTTTGTCTTTGGTCAGGAAGAACAGGAAGGGACTCTAGAAGAAGGAATGAAGACTGAGCACAGCCCCTGCCCCCAGGCTGTGTAGGCTCCATTGAGCTCAGTGCTCATCCTACAGTCCCGTGGGGTTTTGGAATAGTCTGAAAACTGTTCTCAGTCTTGTAAGGGTGGAGTGAAAGCAGTGGTTTCCAGGGGCCTCAGATTGTCTCCAGGGAGCCTGAGTTCCTGGCTGCTTCTGGCTTCCACTCTTTCTCTGTAGGAAGAAGAGTTCCTATACCAGTGAGGCCCCCTCCTCCTTCCTGACCCCCCCCCCAGTCCTCCACACAAACACTGCTGCAGCTGCCACTATCACCAGGGCCTCTGCTCCTAACTGACTTCTGGATGGTATTTTGCAATCATCTTTAACTTAGGATAATCCCCAAGGGCTCATGGTGGGGACCACACCTGGAGAAGCAGAGAGAGAGAGAGAGAGAGAGAGAGAGAGAGAGAGAGAGAGAGAGAGAGAGAGAGAGATGGGTTCACTGGGGACCTGGAGGAATCAGGAAAAAGGGTCCTGAGGCTCCACATTGGATGTTCCAGCAAGACATGACTTTCCTGAGTTCTATTCAGGCCCTTGCCACCAATCTTCCAGGTACAGAGTGTTGTCTGCTGACATGCTCCAGTTCCTGGCTGCCACATCCAGTGGCTTCAGTCTTCTCACTGGGGCTGATGCTCCATGAACGGAACCTGTGGGTGGCATCCTGTGCCTCAGCTGACTGTGGATTCTCATTCTGTGCTCCCCGGTTATGTGGAACTGAGATGTGCTGTTGACATTCTTCCTGGAGACACAGGAGGAATCGGGAACAAACATCTACTAAGCCTAGTTGGAGCTATCCAGCCTTTTACTTCCTGTGTCTTAACCATCTCCTCCGTATTATGAAATGTTTCACCTCCATTTGGAATGTCTTGTGTCTTCAAGAGCTTTCCTCCAAATGGAATGTCTTATCTTGGAGGAAACTGCTACACAAAATGTGTACCAGCTACAGGGCCAGATCCTGTGGAGGCATGCTCTAGGTGACCACATGTCTGGCTCAGGTTCCGACTGGACTTCCTATCAATTAGATGAGGGTCCACTTTTCTGTAGCTTACATTGCTGTGCAAGGGACCAGTTGAGTGTGTCTATGATAGGGCACCTTCATAAAACCTGGACGGAGACTGTGGGGAGACCAGGTAAATGTGTGAAAAGGGATCTGTGTTTCTATTGGCTGACTACACATGAATGGCTGGCATCTGTCTAAGAGAAAGAGCTTTCATTGACAATTTAGAAGTGAAGACTTTCTGCTGTTCATTGAGGACATTTTGTAAACATCCCTTCCCTCAGATATCCCAAATCCATACACAACTTGTTCCTGAAATCATGGAGCTCAGTTTCTATGACTTCCCTTGGATATTTACTAAATAACCCTGACAGCCCCCACTGTCAGGTACTCTGAAATCCATGTCTTACTGCTGGGTTTACCACATACTTACAGACCGTTCCACCCACAGAGAACACTCTGAGCATAACCACCATGCAGTGTCAATCCTTACCTTCCGGATCTTTCCCTCAAGCACTTTCAATCAAAAGTAGCAATGATCTGTGTCTCCCCCCTTTCAGTGAAGGGCTGGATATTTCACAAAAACAATTACTTGTTTGATTTAGCTAATATCCATCATTATTTTACAAGGCTTTCTTATTTCTAGGCATGGTGTTCATGTTTATAGGTTGAGGTGTTTGTCCTACAATACATTTAGAATTCCTGGAGGCTGTTCAGCCATGCTGCAGCTCTATACACAGCTAAGCCTCCAGTTCTAATACTTCTTTTTTATAATTAGTTAATTAACCAAAAGCCAGACATTTCTATGCACTCCTGTGACCAGTGGGAGGGTATAACACTAGGAAGTACAGCACTAGTCATCCTGTTGTACACAGTATGGGACATGTGAGGTTCAGGCTTCCCTGGGATACATGAGAGACTGTCACAAACACAAAACGAAGAAACAAACCAAAGGACAACACTGCATTTTCTCTCTCAGGTGCTATTAACACCCCACCCCAACCCCAGCACTCTGAAACACCGTCAATGAGATCAGTCGCTCTACCACAAGAAGTGCACACAACCTCTCCCCTGTTTATGGCCTTCCAGAGTCTGCGGCACTTACTCTGCCCAGGTTATTGTGCGAATGCACCCTCAGCCCTCAGCAGTTTGTACTGCAACACAAAGGGTGCAGTTGGTGCAGTGTCTGAACTTGCAGAGCTGAGAAGCGCTGGACAGGACCTTCTATAAGCATTCTAATGCAGATTCTTCACTGCCTGTCTGGAGTCTGTTAACTTTTGCAAGGGTTGCACTGGCTTTTTCGCAGTGCTGCACAACACACTGTAAACATGGGACCAAAATGCCACTGCTGAAGGTGGAGGTCTGGGACTGGCCTCTGCTTTCAGAGTCCTTGAAGACACATGCAGAACTGACCCTGTCCACTCAATGTTCATCTCATGTGTCATAGAGACTCAGAAATGTGGGGTCTGGGACGATGAGAAATTCTCTACTCTTCACCCAAACCTCACGTGCTCATTGTGAGTTTTTTCCCCCGTTCCCCACTCTCCATGCTAAAATCAGCCTGCAATCTCCCATAGCTCCATTCCTAAGGTGTTCTGTGAGGTCCAAGGGCACGGGCCAGGGCAGGTAGCCAGATCTGAGCAGGTCTTCTAAAAGTAAGATTCACTGTCCTTCCCCCATCCCATGCTTGGGCCACGCCCCAGCCCATTCTCACTTCAGAGACTCATCCACTAATGTAGGAGGCACACAGAAAGCCAATAGCAATCTTGAAAGAGGAGAGCCTGAACCTTTGTGGCAGCAACTTGCTGAAAGACCCCAGGGCAAGGCTCCTGCCAAACACCTCAGGGAGGGTGCTGGTCACTAGGCTTCTGAGGAGCAGTAGCCATGGAGCACCTCCACAACTACAACGACAACTTCTACTATCATCTGGAGGACTATGAGGAGGACAGTGGTCCACACCCTGAATAGGAGGGAGCAGCCGAGGAAGGTGGCAGGGTCTATGAAGGAGCTCTAAGCCTGGACGACAGTGAGAACCAACAGGGCAACCTCAACCAGGGAGGCCACATGAGCCCTTACAACAGCCTGGTTCCTGAAGGTGACCACAGCAACCAGGCTCCCATGTGGGCAGACCCAGAGGTTCCAGCCATCTTGCTGGCTGAGGTTCCAAGGCGCCAGCCCAGCAGGCACCAAATCCAGTTCCACTTCACACAGTGGCAGGTGCAGGAAATGGAGACCATTTTCTAAGAAACCCAGTACCCGGATGTGCTCACAAGGTATGTGGCTGGCACCAGGAGGCACCCTGGCCTCCAGGGGCTAGCGTTCATATTGACCTGGCCTTTACCCCTTCTGGGCCCTGTCCTCCCCATTCTTTTCCAAACCACAGGTAGCTTCTACCCCATGATGGGTATGGGGAAGTTGCTTTGTGGCATCGAGCTCAGTGTTTGAATCAAGGTTAGTGTTTTCACGCAGTGGTGGCATGAGACCGGTGTGCTTACTGCTCATGTCCTTCTTTATCTCATTTCTCAAACATGGTGCAACATGGGTGAATGAAAATCGTGTAGGAACACAAACTCTTCTGATGCTTTAGAATTCTGCAATGTTATGATTTGTCTGACAGAGCTCTAGAAGTCCATTCCTCTTGACCAACTGTATCAAAATTCCCTACTTCTTCCATCCCAGAAGCTGATGTCTTCTTCCCTCCTGGTGTAAACAGTAGTGCTCTAAAGGCCGCCTCTGACAGAAGTCAATGTCCTTTTTTGACTGATTTGTCATAGTTCTCGGGCTTCTCAGCTGTAGTTTCTGCTGCTGTTCAGATCTTTTTGGGTCTGAATCTCACACCACTGTATCAACATACCCTGTCTTTTCAG